TTGTTATTTTAAGGTCTAGAGGATACATGAAAGCTTTTCCTCATGAGAAAGCTGCTTTTCCCTATCTCTACTTTTTTATTTTTTTATTTTTTATTTTTAAAGCTGGTCAATCACTAAGCTAAGCTCATTTGAATGATGCCAAAGTCAGAATTATGACTGCCTGATTTTACCCTTCACTGCGCTTGTCACAAAAATTAAATTACAGATCATGCTTATGAATATAATGCATGAGCTGCTGCCTGGCATTCTGAAAGATAGAATGTCCCTTCTGTCCAGCCACTCACAAAACAGCGTGTCACATGATAGTTGAACATGCAGAGAAAATCAGAGGGCAGGGGGAAAAATTCCAGCTCCCGGGGGATACACGGTGCATTCCACGAATGGTTCATGCATTCAGACAAGTTTATTTTAGTAAAAACAATAATAATAATAATACCTATAATAGCCACATCAGATCCTTCAGACTTGTATAATGCTTTCGAGTTTCCAAAATGCTTCCACCTATAATTTCATCTGACAAAGGGACCGCTAATACTTTAAAGTGCAGCACAGGGCTGCTTGATTTAGCACTGAAAGGGCTCAGTCTGCCAAAGAGCGAGCATCACACATGCAGGCTTGTTGAACACTCTGTGTAGAGGCAATTGTAGAGCCAGGGTCCCGGTGCTAGTGCTCTCCGTGAAAGATGATGGGAAACAGCATTCATTTGCAAGGGCCACGGAAGGCTTTGAAGGTGTATGTACAGAGAAAAGTACTGTTCTTATCTTGCTACTGAATTTTTGAAGCATAAATTATCTTTAGTTTTTTTAATGGAAATAGGTTTTTGTTTTATAAATACGAAATAATCCTTGCCATATATATTTTTAAATTACACATACTTTTCGAAGTTGAATTTTAAAGACTCCAAAATCTGCCCTGTCCCTTTGCCAATCTCCAAGATAATTCCTGAGGTCACTTAATATATCTCTTTCCACACTATGTATTATAAATGTAGGTATGTGTACACATACATATATGGGTATGTATTTGTATATTTGTAGGTATGTACTGTATACCAGTCATCTATGTATTTTTCTGTCTCTGTCTCTGTCTCCCTCCTTCTCTCTGACTCTTGAATACATTCCCAAGTTGATGCTTTTGTGAGGGAACTTCTTAGAAGCAGGAGACTATAAAGGAGGTTGAATCAAGATCTATAAGCAAGCACTGAAATTACCATTAGCTTTGAAGCATTTGTCAATCCCAGGTGGTCTAGGCTCTGGAATAGTGGTTCTCAAGCTTGAACACACATCTGAATACCAGGAAGGCTTTTAAAAGTGCAGATCCCTGGGCTCCACCTCAGGGATTCTGGTGCAGGAGGTCTGGGCTGGGGCCCTTGAATTTGTATTTCTAACAAGTTCCCAAGTGGTGTTGGTGATGCAGATGCAGGAATCTTCTTTGAGGACCACTAGCAGGAGTCCAGGTGTAATAAGCTCCACGTGTCAGAGGCACCACTGCTATGGTTGGTGCTAAACATAGTGGAAAACTTCCCTGCCCCAGTTTAGCATTGGTTGAACAGAAAAAGGAAGAAAACACCATTTGTTGAGAATTTCTGATCTTGTACACACACTAATATGGGTTTACGAACAAGTTGGCAAGCAAAACAAAACCAAAAATTAACTCTGAGCCCATTTTTTAGTTTAAGGTATCCCTAAATTGCTAGTATCTCCAGGTAGCTCAAAAACCAAAATGTAAACAGCCCAATTTTGAAAACTTTTCACAAATAAAAATATAGGGCATATGACAATCATCAAAGACTAAATATACAAAGACATAACAATGTCTGCAGAAATAGTAAACCACAGAATTTTACTTCCAAAGGTTGGAGATATTTAAATTTCAGATATAGGGTGTTTTAAAAGATTTTTCCGTGTCAAATAAAAAATGGCCACTTACATTTGAAAAACACACAAAACTTGTAAAAATGAAAACTATAATAATTACAATGAGAAACTCAGAGAAGAGTTAAACAACATATTAAATAAAGTTGCACAGAAAACTAGAAAATTAAACGATAGACTTGAAAAACTTAATCAGAAAGCAGGAAAGAGAGTCTGAAACACACCAAAAAAATGCAACGTAGGTTAAGAGTCATGAAGGACAGAGAAAGAAATAGTAGGAGGTAGCGGAGATGTAATACTTAGTAAAGTGATAAGTGGGGAATTTTCAGGCCTAATGAAATATGCCCATTCCAAAATCCAAGAAGCAAAGCAAATCCTAAGAAGGATAGAGAGAAATCCACATCTAGGCTTGTGGTAGTGACACTGAGAAACACCGAAGAACAAGATCAGACTGTCGACGTAGCCGAAAAGAAAAGACAGATAAACTAAAAAGAGCCAATGCTTCTTAACCATGACAGAACTGATAAGATTGCGGGCAAATATCTTTAAAATATTGCAATAAAATAGTCACCAGCCTCAAATGTTTACCCAGCAAAAGTGCCTTAACCTTATAACACACCATCAGACAGGATCGCAGAATGGAGCTGGAACACAAACTCACCAGATTTCCTAGTCAACGAAACTTTAATAAGATCCAAAAGAGTTTTGAGACCATATAGTCAAATTTTCTAATTCTACTGATTTCTTTGAATAATGAGAGAGAGTGAAACACATGCAATAGCACAACACATTGATTCAGGACATAGTGGTTTCGTCAGAATAGAAGCTCTGATAAGTAATGAGTGCCCTGCCACAGAGCCATCTCCCCCTGGCGCGTCAGATCATGCCACCTGTCTTGCTCTTTTCCCAGCGAATTTTACTTGTTTTGCCTTTGAGGGTATCTTAGGAACAAATGCACAGTTCTCATGCTCCTGTGGAGCGACCAACGTTTACACTTCACCACACTTCATAGACAGAATGAACCCCACAGGGATCCTATTTTTGTGACTCGGAATCTGTTTGGGTGAGGTGAAGCCCTGTTAGTCAGTCATATTTGGGTTATAACATGATGTTCTTAAACAAGGCAAAGTACTTAGGAAGAAAAAGAAGTTTTCATACATTTGAAGAAATAACTAGGAGGACGTTCCTATTCGGTTAAAGGAGACATAACTGCAGCAGCCAATGGCCCACCGTGTGACACTGGACTCAGGCTCTGGAGAGCAGCCTTTGAGGGAGGTTGTGCGTTGGATGGGAACCACTCAGTGACGTAAACCCTCTCCAGGGAAAAGGCAATTGCCATTTTGCCCCAATCCATTTTCCAATCATGGCCTTAAGAGATGGTCCAGGAGAGACTTAATTACAGTAGGAAGCGGAAGCCTCGGCTACTCTCCCAACCAGATACTAAGGGAGCTTACTTAGCACGTTGGGCCAGTTGGAGCGCTGGCCTTCTCTGTGATCCCAACTGGTTCTCCCCAAACGATTCGAAGCTTTAAAGATTTAGGGCAGTAGGTACCTTATCAGGGTCCCCGACTAAGATATTAACTATAATAGCCGTCACTAATAGGAAGCTGGACCTGTGCTAGGTACTTTATGCATACTATTTCTATTGTTTATGTTTAGTGATAGTGTTTATCTCATGTTCCTTACCCAGAGCACAGCGGCTGTTCCTCTCGCTATGATGTGCCTGGGAGACAAGAGAGTTCCATCTCGAGTCCCTGGTCCACTAATAGCTCACCAGGGCTGCCTCTGTTCAGGCAGCTGAGTGTACAAAAGGGCCTGAGGTTGTCTTTCATATTCAGGAGTGAAATCCAGCCTCCAGGACCACCAGGTTCTCTGGTCTAACCTCATTAGTAATAAAGCAAACATCTGTATTTTAAAGTCTCTTACAGCTTTGCCTTCTCAATTGGTTCTGAACCCTGTGGGGGTGAGGGTAGTGTCCCGACTTGTCACTTAGAACCCTGACACTCATGCAGATGCTGGGCAGTCAGAGGTGAGCAGCTCCAGGGCCTGCTCCTGGGATTGGATTTAGCTGGCAGCTCCCAGGGCCCACGCTTTTGGAATTCGCTGCAGCATAATATTCATGCCCATGCCGTTCTCTCCCCAAGCTGCTTGCCGCCAGTGAAAGAGCAGGGAAAGGGAGCCTGGAGCCCAGCATTCCTGCCCTAGGCCTGGCTCCTCTGATGACCAGCCCTTGCCCTGCCCCCTTTCTGACCGCAGAGCAGGCTGATGCTCTGCCCGGCTGATCCTCCTGCTTCCTTCTCCCCTCCCGCCTGCTCCTCTCTCAGCCCCACTCCTTTCTCCTTCAGGCACTGTCCCCCGCACGTTTCCTGCGCCTCTCCCTCATCTGGCGCCTTCCTCCCGACAGGCCCAAGCTGACACCGCCCGTATTTCACAGCGGGGTCGCTGCTCCACAGTGGACGAAGCGGGGTTCCAAGAAAGAAAGGCAGAGGCATAATAAGAGTGCCCCCCTTTTAGGAGTCTGTGCATATTCTTAGATTAGAGGAGCGCTTAAAAGATGCTTCAGGTACATTTCAAAAGGAAAACGTGAACATCTTGAAAGTGGTACTCGTAAGAGAGAGTCACTTTATAAACTGAGCCCAATTCAACCTGCTTATTTGATGCATAAATGCAAAGATACACCTAGAAAATGGAAGGAGGCTCTAAAGACAGGAAGCATCCCCAGCGCCCATTGCCGAGGTCTCATTCTGGGCTCAGAATGTGTTCGTGAGAAAAGCAAATGATCCCAATAAGGCCGCAGCCACAGCGCTGCTCACCATGGATAGATCGCAACTCCAGCCTCACACGGTTTCAAAACACTGCCCGCAACTCCCCGATTGGCAGAAATGGGAAATGCATCACACTGAGAAAACAAATTTTTAAAATTTTTTTCCTTAACAACTTAAACTTAAAATCGATTTTTTTATCTTCATGTCCAGGGGAGAGTAAACGGGAAAAGGAAAAGAACTGTCCTGTAATTTTTGAACCTTAGGAATAATCTGAACAGGACAGCATTCACATCATTTAAAAATTAAAGAGAAATTTCTTTTCCCAGCATAATTTATGAAAGAAAGGAGAAGCGTGACTTACCCTCACTAGAGTCTTTGGAACATTCTGGCTTCTTTGCTTTGCTCTTCTTGTGGGGTGGAGACAGGCCTTTTGGCTCTAACCCCCCTGAAAGCACAAAGATTTAAAACATTCTTATTTAAATATTTACGAGTAGTGTTCAACATTATGTTAAAGTTTAAAGATGTTTTCTTCCCAGGAAACCCATACATACAATGGGTCCTAATTGCAGATTCATCTGTCGTCATCATGGTTGAGCTAAATTTTGTCAATTCTCCAGTGAAAATAGACTTAAACTTCAAGTTCAAGCTTAAATTTTTTATTGTTGACATCCTTAATGATTCATACAAATGTGAAACCTTAAGTGATTTTTTTAAAAATTACAATTTCTCCACTGGGCAACCTCAGATTATGCCTCTCTTCAGGAGAACTTGATGTAAAACTTTATGGCCTGACAGTGGTCCTGGTACAGTTTCATCATCATCAAAAAAAAAAATGTTCATGTCTGCAAACCTATTCTCTCCATAGTATGGCACATCTCAAGGAGTGGCACTACTGTCTGCCCAGGAATTTAATAAAAAACTAAAACACCCTTAACACTTACCTTCCTTTACTTTTCCAGTAAAGCAAGTTCTATCATAAGTGCTGTGAGCTCTGCTCTGGAATAGATCTGAAATTCGCCCACCGTGCTCACGTTTTGCGGCCATCACCCAGGCTAGACCGGCAGTGTCCCCTCCTGGGCCAAGGCGCTAACCTCTGGGTTCTAGCCTCTAGCTTTCTAACCTCCCCACCACGTTCATTCTCCATGTGGCAGCCAGAGTTATCTCTAAACCGTGAACCACATCTTGTTGCTTGCTTGTTAAAATGCCGTTGTTCCTAGAAAAAGGACCAGGCCCGATTTCATGTCCCAGGACGTGTCATTTGGGCCCCACCTGGCGCTCTAGCTTCGCCTCCCATTTGCTCTTTGGCTTCAGGTTACTGGCTCCCTTTCTGGTCTTACTCATTAATGGGCAGGTTCCTGCCTCAGGGCCTTGGCACCTTCTG